AAATTTCAGAGTATATTGAGAATAAATCACCTTGGCTTTTGTTTCAAATTTGCAGGTACCAAGACGTGGATGACTATATCAAAGTGAATCATACCTCTAAATGGGAAGAGAAGCGGTAAGTCTTCAAGTGAAATCAGCACTGAGATTGTATTTTGAAAAGAGTATTATTTTAATTTTCCCTTGTCATTGTCACTCCACCTGGTCAAAAAAACTATGTGAATCTACCATTGATAAGGAGGCAATCCTTTATGTTTCCTTGTTGAATTTTTTTAAAATAATATTTTATTAATTTTCCAATTTTACATTTAAGTATTTAAAAAGCAACGTGGTGGTTGGGTTAATCAATAGTTCGATAACATATAAAAATCTTTAGTACAAATCTCAAGATATGACATCAAATATTTCCTCTCTTTTTCCTTTAACATCTACTGTCTCGTATTTAAGCTAATACAGTTCTTATTGTATCAACTCAGTAAAAACATCGTTATTACATTTATCAATAAATTTTTAGCTTATACATATCTTAATTACTTTTTACGTTCAATCTTCATAAACAATCCATATCCTGTTATTAATTTTTCCCCAGTTTTTAGTTTCCCATCAATATTCCAATTTAACATTTGATATTTATAATTTTCAGGCTTTAGGTAACCAAAATTTCCCTTATCTCAATTCATAACAGAATCTAATATTCAAAATACACATTTTATCTATTTAAATATAGTCTATTTCCTAAAAGTTATCTATTTCCCACCATATTAAATCATCTGCTTAATAATACAATATCTCCTTTAATAAATCAAAACCATTATGTATATTGCCTGGATTAGTCAATAAATCAAAAATATTCATAATATATTTTTTTCTTTTAGGTCTAAGTTTTAAATGTTAAACAGATAAAATCCTTATTTTCAACTAATTTCCAAATATTTTAAATCTAATGACCAAAATTTCCCTTATCTCAACTTCTCCCTTTAACCCTCTAATTCAGTGGTTCTCAACCTTTTTAATGCCGTGACCCCATAATACAGTTCCCCATGTTGTGGTGACCCCAGGTGCCAGGGGCGTGGCCAAGTGGGTGTGGCTGCCAAGTGGGTGTGGCCACCAAGTGGGCGTGGCCACCATGTTGTGGTGACCTCCAACCATAAAATTATTTTCATTGCTATTTCATAACTGTAATTTTGCT